GAAAGGGAACGTCTTGGTTACGTATGTAACCCTCGTTCCCTCAAGGAGGGAACGGAGACGTCACGTCCCGTCGCCACAACTCCTGTACCACTGCTGAGCGGCCGGGTCACCGGCTCGGCTCCTCAGCGAAAACCTGAATATGCACTGCATATGCTGCCTACTTATACTCATGCTGTGATCAGCGGCAGCTGGATGCAATAATCGCATGCCAATGTGCATTGGCTCGTTTAGTTTACACTCAAAGTAAATTGGTCTCTCTAAGCGAGATCCCAATTTTGTCGGTCATCCGACGTGACGTCTCCGTTCCCTCCTTCAGGGAACGAGGGTTACCATACATAACCGAGATGTTACTTGTGTAACCCTCATTCCCTGAAGGTGGGAACGGAGACGTTACGTCAGTCATGACTGACGAGTTGGGCTCTCGGGCGAGATCCCAATTCGTCTGTCACGACTGACGTAATGTAGAACATGACTGACTGAAAGGGAACATCATAAATTGTGAGTAAATGATGACTAAATTCTATTTTCCTGTAAACTATTGTATCTTTTCAAAATTCATCCAAAAAATTAAAATGCTATTATCATATACTCACCCGTATGTCATTGCAAAACTATATTACGGGATTTCTTTTGTGGCACATTTATATGTTGAGAATTTATTATCTTTAATCCATCCAATGGACCGTCACCAAAGCTGTTTGGTTTCCAACATCTTTTGTGTTGCAACAGAGAATAATTAATGTATTCAGCATGATCCCTCATTAATACAGTGGACTGTCATACATAGTTATTGAACGTATATAAATGAGTTGGGGTTCTTTAGTTTTTAATTTTTATATATACTTAAATATTATTATTTAAAAAATCTTGTTTGCTTCACATTATAAATGCTATCATCATCATAAACATTTGTTAAAAAACAGCATTTCTTAGTATTCTCCATGCACATTTTATGATATGAGAATGATTTAAAAAATGTTCAAAATAACTTCTTGTACTTCAGTGGAAGCTAGAAATCTGATTGTTTGCACAAAGGAGTTCACAATGTTGGTCAAACTTTATTTTAAGGTCCAATAAACCATTAACTACAACATTTGCCTCAATACACTCCTAATTTGCTGTTTATTAATAGTTAGTCAGGTAGTTATTACATTTAAGTACTGGGTAGGATTAGGGATATAGAGTATGGTCATGCAGGATATGTGCTTTATAAGTACTAATAAACAGCCAATATGTTTATGCTAATAAGCAAATAGTTAATAGTGAGAATTGGTTCCTATACTAAATTGTTACCACAATGTCAATATCAAAAATGTACTTATTTAATTAGTGTCCTAGGAATACTGTGGAATCTCTTGCTATGATCCCACATCCTGGAATTTGCATTCATCACACTTGCTGTTATTCAGAATCAGAATCTCATCGTGTATGAGAGACAGTTGCAACAGGCAGAAGAAATAAAATAAAAAAACACCCTACGGAGGAAAGCACTCAAATGAAAACACTAACATTCACATGTCCCTGAGGGCGCCTTTGCAATAAAAGGAGAGGGCTGATTTTCATTCAGATAGAAAGCTAGTGGGGAGCATTTGTTGCTTTGCGCCTGTGTGATGTGGGATGCAGGCTGATCTTCAGATGGTGGCCGGGATTCTGAGCCATTTCCTCCTTTAGTTTGAGACAACACCATGCATTGCATTATTGTGTTATTCTCTTGTTTTTGCTTCCATGGCTGATTTGGTTTGAAATGAAAGATTGAAAGGGGATTTTCAGATATAGCTTACACACGCCTTACAGGAAAAACTACTTCTGACTTTCCCCTTGAATGTATATGCAGAGCATAATGCATTCAGGCCTGTTGAATCTGGGATAGGGTTTTCGCCAAATCTCTTATGTTTACCAAATATGACACTTGGGTTTGCAAAGGATCATTTCCTAATGGGACATTGCTGCAGTGGCTGGTCAAAGCAGTATAAACAAAAAGATTTGCACTTTAATAATTATCCATGAGAAAGCAATTTATGGATTTGACCTGCCTTATAGATTTCATGCCTAAATCCAGAT